GCTGCGTGATGGTCCAGAAATGCAGTAAAAGAAACGAAAGCGTTCGATGAACTTTTAACTGTCCCACCGCGAATCGGAGAAGCTCTCCATAATTTGTAAGTCAATTTTTACTCTCTCTCTTTCTCTTGATACCGATTATCGTTAACTGTAATACGACGGACACAGAAATTAGAATAACTGAAGGTGCAGCGTTCAGACTTTCTTCTTCTGCTTTGGCACGCTTGATAATGCCATGCAAATATCTATTCTATAGTGAAACCACCGCGACGGGCGCAAAAAAGCTCTGCATTATGCGAGCAGATAAGTTTTACGATCCGCCACATGGTGAAATCTGTTCTTATAATTTGGATTTTTGCGATTGCGCGCTGATCGATCGATTTGTTAACATTTTATGAGATACAGTCTACGCTACATCGAAAGTGAAATGGTTGATCAAATACAACTTGAAACATTACAGTCTGATCAGAATAGAACAAATAAATAAAGGCTTAGAAATGTCACTTTAATTTTATGCAATTAATTCTTTTAACTAGTATATAATATATATATATATATTTTTGAAAATATTAAATATATATAAGTATACTAAAGAATACTGAATTATTTAACATCGAATTTTTATAATCATTGATTTCTGTTTGAGAATAATAAGAAAAAAATTAGTTTCAAGGATTACGCGTATCTCATAAAATGTATTTACAGATACACACAATTTCGGTCGAGAAGTGAATTTGTCTTGATATATTTTGGAAATCGAAAAATGCGCGACGGAACGAATGTTAACTTTAGCCAAGCGAAAGACCATGAACTTGACACGTATGCCACAATAATGCACCACGCCTTCAACAACCTCTTAAACGCTCCAAGATCTAAAGTCACGCTGGCGTTGTAATGCGATCCGCGAGAGTGCATCGAAGGGAATCTCAAAGTGAAGGAAGTAAGGCTGCACTCGTTCGGTGCTACACAGTGCATGGAGAGCTGAGTATCGGTGGTCAGTGGCCGCTGAAAGCGAAAGGACGCCCGGAAAGGGGGATAAACCTAGAAGAGAGTAGTTAGGTACATTGCTATACCTGCAGCGAACATTTAGCCATTCCTTCCTCGTACGTTCGAGGCACGTAAGCGGCGCCTGCTAGGTGTGTGCTAGGTACACGAATCACTTGAAACTGATACAGCGAAACGGGATACGTTATTTCAAGAGAGGGGTCTCCTTCTCGGAGAGGGGGACAGTCGAAGGTGCACCGAAAGTGGCGAAATGCATACATGTATATCCGCGATCAGTCACTCGTGAAACGCAAAGGCAAAAGTGCCCCGTAGGTGGACAGTGAGAGAGAAAGAAGAGAAAGAGTTGCATCCCGAAGATTTCGTTCGACAAACGGTGTCTTTTATTAGCTCGCACGAAGGAGGGCAGTTCACTCGGTCGGAGAGTGTGTCGCGTGGAGTGTCCTCGGAGTGTATCTTGCGAGACCTTGGGTTTCCGGTGCGAGCGGTTCCTCTCGTCTGGTGCTCTCTGCAAGGTCAGTGCAAAATGCTCGCGCACGATCGGCTCATCTCGGATGGACGGATCATTTTTTTAGCTTTTTGACTAAGCATGTTCGAGTGCGTCACCGAATTTCGAAAATTCGATTCTTGGTCGATATAAATCGTGCAGCGACGATGTGCACACTCATCCAATCGACCGCGACAAATTCCGTTCACTCGTGAAGGCACGAATTAGAGCGAAAGTTTTGTCATTTTGTCGCTGGCGAACAAAAACGCGGCTGGCAACTGATATCGAGTTTGGAAATCGGACATTTTTTTTTAGATACAAAAGCAAAACACACTTCTCAACTTTTGATATTAAAATAGTCTAGTTTCTATTATTAGAATATAACTTATTTTGGGATAAAAGTTGCATAGCGCGAGATATTTTTAATTTGCTCATCGTCGAAAAATTCAATGCAATGTGGTATAAAATTTCCATTCATTTTCTCAAGTTTTTAAATAAAAATCACATCACCTTATCATTTCATATAATGTATATAATATTTTAGACGTTTCGTAAACTCTAAACTTTTCTTGAAAAGTCTTATATTAAACATTTATACGTTCGAATGGCGTATAAGTGCGCAACCTAATTATCGTCCAACTAGTAAGAAATCACAGTTATTGCCGTCAATGTCGTTCGTCCCTTGTCATCAGGATAATCACTCACTTCCTTTCTATCCCTTCGATAATGAATCCGCTCGTGCGGGATTAAAGTTATAAAATGCAGTATTAGGTCTCGAATGGCGGCGAATGGTCAGTTAGTTAGACCGTATGTAGGTCTATTTTTCAATCGGTTCGATGATGCCTGGAAACCTCGTCCGAGCGTGACAGCTACCGTTGGCTCGCGCGAAACACGTAATAGCGAAAGTTTTCCTGATTCTCCTGTTCTCTTGCGCATATAGGAAGTATATTGATATTACACAGGTCATAAGAACTCTCGAGGAAGAAATATATTCGCTCGAAAGGACATTCCTCGCGCGGTATGCTCGCGCTTTTAGGGCCGATTATCCAAGAGTGCACTTGACTCTGTCATTTAGAATTCCAGACACCTACACAGCGCATTTTCCGCTCCTACATCCACTATCCATACGGCTGATTTTTATTATTCGACGAATCAATAAACGCTGCTCCTCTCTCTTTTTCTCTCTTAAGATCATCTATAAATGCACTACTTACCATCGTTTTATCACCGCTCAACATTTTCTCGCTGAGAGATAAACGTCGCGAGAAGTAGAATTATTTTATATATTCGCGAAACGCGACGCGAACGAATAATCGCGAGCGAAAGTCTATTGAAATATTCTAAAAGACAAACATACTTGTCTTCAATATTTGCAATCTCTCTCTCTCTCTCTCTTTCTCTCTTATAAAAAACAGAAAAATTAATCGAGTATTTCATTGAGAATAATCAAAAAGACATAGGCTGAGAAATATATAGTTTTCTCTCCTTCCGATTAATTTAAATTCGATTTACATATGAGAAATTATCTTGACATATTACAATATTTTAACACATTTAATTTATAACAATATTGTAAATTTTTATCTATTTTCGGTAATAATTTATCTGATTTATCTCAATCTCGCATATACAGAAAATACTACTTAATTTTTATTAAAACAAAAGTTTAAATGCTATTTTAATTAATAAAAAAATAAGAATACGATTTTCCACAATTTATACTTTTATTTTTCCAAAAGACTTTTAAAAGTTTTTTTACAATGAGTATTTAAATATAGGTCTATAGAGAATATTCTTAAGTCTTATATGTCTTTTTATTATTTATTATATTTTATTATTTTAGAATGTCTTTTACAAAATTTTTTAAAAAAGATTTATTATTTTCGGACAGGTTTTTTTTATTTTGGAATTTCAATAGTGTACGATCGATGATATGTGGCACGCATACATGACCCGCATCTGGCCGAGATAAATGACATTTGACCGTGAAACGCGATGCGCGAAAGTTTCATCCGGCAAAGACACAGACTAAAGAATATATAGAATATAAGAATGCATGATGAAGAGAAATGTTTAAGATTGTAATCGTGGGGTTTCTCCATTCTGAATCTTGCATGAGAGATTTTTTTTTATAAGGAACAATCTCAATTTAATATAAATGTAGATTCGTTTCCGAGAGGAGAGACACGCGCACGTGCGAATGCAAATAAAAAACAATCCGAAGAAAAGGTACATTTCTTCTCTCGGAAAATATAAAATTGATCAAGCAAGCACAAATCGCATAACGTCAATTTGTTCGAGTTACGGTCGCTTGTTTCGTCGAAAGTGAAATCGTAAGTATGCAAGAACCTCGGCATAGATCTTCACGTCGATTTGTCGCCATGTTTTTTTCTTCATGTACTATGCGCGCACACGCGAGCTTCTTTCTACGGCAATCGACGTCTAGTGTCCGAATCGAATAGTGTGAAATTGGTATATTATTTTGCAAGGATTATATCTTTTTTGCTATTTCGTAAGACTAAATGAAGATTGATTGATGACATTTTTGCTCCGGATTTTAGACACTCGCAGTTTCAGGCATCTGAAGTAGAGCTCTTTCAACTTTTATTAATATTCTGTGTATATATTATATAATTTTTTGTATATATATATATAATTATAAATATCTAATTTATAAATATTAAAATATAAATACATATTAAATAGAGGTCTTCGAATCATTTAAAAAAATATCAAGTATTTAAATTTATTCAAAAGGTTTATTAAATTATTAGTAAGATAAACAATTTTAGTATTGTATTTTTAAATCTTCTATTATTTAAATTATTCTGTCTATATAGAGAAGATTGTTTTCACTGATTGGTTCGAATGGAATCATTTATTGCAGGAAAAACGGGCTCTAAATTAAGACTCTAAATTAAAGAATCTTATTAAAAAAGAATGTAATACGAAATGAAAGTGAAGAAATCCTGTAATAACTTCATGAAAAAAAGGCGGACAAAAAGAACATTTCATTTCACATATCTGCGCGTATAGAAATTCACTTTCGATCTTAAACAAGAGATATTGTTTCGCGCATAAAGGTTCAGAATAAACTGCGGGAATACATGAAAAATTTCTCTTCCAATCTAATGAGAAACGATGTATGCAACGCAGTTTCAAAACTCGCGATGCGCGTTTTGCAGTAGGAGTTTAGAGCGTCGATTGCAAAAGTCCGAAGTCGCTTCTCGCACAACGTAGGAAGAAGATGAAACCACACGGGGTAAATAAACCGTTCCCGCGTGCGTGTATATCGGAGAACGCGCGGCGATTATTTCCTTTTCCCTCAATCGTGAGTAGCGCACTTAACTTTTACGACGCGGCTGCATGGTTACCTATGCACGTACGTAGGCTGCACCTTGCAACGAGCGCAACCTGCGGAGATGCGCCGTCACGGTTCTGCGCTCGCCGACTAGACCTGCTCACGCCAGGTAGACGTCGACTCACGGTGATGAATTTCAGGGATGTACGAGAATATAAAGGCCTGATACTGACGCGGCGGAAGCAGAGGGAGCCAAAAATGTCGCGTCCAAGGTGGACGTACACCTTTTCTCAGCCGCATTCCCGACTGATCACGGCGGTTTTGCTGATGCTCTTCGTTCGAGTGCAGTATATAACAGGTATGTGGTACAGGTGTGTGCTCTCACTCACCTGGATTTCTGTAATTGTTATCCTTCTGATCCATATACGGGTTTAAAGACTATCCTCTGGGAAATCGAATCGCCGAATAGAAAAATAAGTCATGTCTGTTTAAGAACGTGAAAAAATAAACGTTTCAATGCGTTTTCTAAACTGAACATTAACTCTTTCCCGCTTATCGCTTACGGTTTATCTTATTCAGTTGAACGTAGAAAGTAGAGTCTGAGATATCGAAAAGTAAACTATTAAGCTAGGTAGAAATAGATAGATGTATACGAATATTAATTCTAGATATACAAATATTTTTTATCCAATAAAATACTATATAATTTGTCATGTTAGATATATACATATTTTGTTTATTTAGAGCATCCGGTTGAAAAAAGTTACCTTTTCTATTTCGATTAATTTTATTAATTAATCTATGAAAATTGTTAAATGTAAATGTTTCATAATAAATTCTGTGCGAAATAATGTACTCTATAAAAATGATTGATGAATATTTATAATATTAAGAACATTCTTCCGAAGAATCCAAGTCGACAATTTTATTAGAGTCCCACTTCTTCTATTGTTAACGATTATTATTATTTATTTATTTATGAACTATTAATATGAAAGAGAGAAGTCTACGCCTTTTCAACGACCCATCTACGCCAATTGGAAGGTAATTTGAGCGATTCGAACTAAAGTCTAATTAGCCTCTATATAGAGCAGCCTGAGCAACGTGCTCTCGTGCAGTTTGCATTGTCGCCGGTAACAATGCTCGCAAATCTCGTATGTATACCCTACTTTGCCCCAGCACACGGATATACGTACGAGCGAAGAAGATGCCGGAGATGGGCTGTTAATTCCCATCGTTACCATTTTAGATCGTGAGATCGCGGCCGGGCGTCTACATCAATTTGTAGGTGGTATAGTTGATGAATTTCCTCACAAGACGAGACTTTTCTCGTCGTCAAAAATCTCGTTAGATTCAAATATATATTGGACGCATTTAATTGATTGAGCCGCTCGCGTGAATCACAACGTGCATTTTTGCGCCTCGTAAACTTCGCTCGCAGCGGATGATCATCTGTCACACACTCTTGTCACCTAGTGATGCAGGTGGCAGCGATGAAGTATTTCCCGTATATAATTTGCATCGCGACCAAAGATTTATCGTCGCATCAGCAGTGCGCGAATTTATTTTGATGTCAACTCTTGTTGAAATATCAAGATCAGACATTTAAGATTACAGATGATCGCTCGCGCGATAGATACGATAAGAAGGCACATTTCTGTGAAAGTTTATAGCATCGGATCACCGCGTGTCCCAAACTGAAGAAACTACGGACAAGTGCGCAAAAAGTCGGCCGACCTTGGCCCACTTTGTCAAAGCTTCAGAAAGGAGCGAGCTTATCTCTGTAAATGCAACGACACGCGTGCGCGTATGTGTGTGTGTGCATGTGTATGTGTGTGGATATCATCGTGTGTACACAGGAAAGCGTAGCCATTGTCGCATACGGCATATAACGTCCGTTTGGATAGAGATGTGTCGAGCGCTTGTGATTTTCTTGGCCCGCTTGCCTTTCAAAAGTAATTCTTCTCTCGCCTCTCGACTCGAGAGACAGAGGTGAGAGATAAAGATAGAACGAGAGAGAGAGAAAGAGATGCGATTTCCACGAAGTGTGATTTCTTTAAAACATGTCCATAATCCTTCCACATTTTACTCTTTTACTCAGATCTAGGAAGTAAAGCTTCAGAAGATTTAATACTGGTTGCGAGCATGTAGAGAATTATTGCTTGGGATAAATATTATCGCATCGATCATGCAATTAAAAGCTAGGGTTATTAGAATGAAGTAGTCAATTACGTTGGCGTTGATTAATTTGATCAATCAAGCATTGTAACAGCGGCTATGAGATTAAGGCGCGATATCTAAAAAAAATTTACTTTAATTTATTTTTCGTGTAAAAAGTCGACGATTTAAATTATGATTTCTATTCATATTATCCATTATTAATGAGGGGCTTATAAGCTTCGCATGTGACTTAAATGTTTGTAGCAATTTAAAGTGATGAATTTCTTCTTAAGTAAATCTCTGCTCGATTAAACCACTTGGCGTTGCATTGTTCAAGGTTTTGCTACATTACCCGCGTAATCTGTCAGCAAACGTGAATAATAATAATCAGAAAGCGACACGTCTAATAAAAGAGCGACCATCGCACATTCGCACCTCGCAAGAAACTGCTTCGATTGGCGTCTCTTCGAGATGGTTAGAAAGTGTAAAGCTATTTTTAACCGCGTTTATAACGTCGATGATAATTAGACGCGAATTTTTCAATTAGTTCCGCCACGTAAGTAAATCACTAATTAAGGCGCAACCGATCCGCATCTGACGCGACAACACGTTATCGAGTGCGGTCGAATCTTTGCATTTTTTTTCTACTCACTCATATTTCTTATATATCACTATCCTCAACACTTTTAATTTCCTTATTTTTAATTAATGTTTTCCTTTTCTTGTTTATTACTTTCTGCACAAGATCAACATGAATTTTTATTCTGCGTGCGTGCATCGGAATAAGAATGGAGAGTGAACGGAAATATTAGGGAAATTATTCGATTGCCTGATGCATTAAAAATATACGAAGATTTTTTAAAATATATTAAAGTGCGAGTAATATATCAGACTTGAGATAGAGACTTCTTTTTCGTTAAAAAAAACATTTGTAAAATATGTAACGGAAGGATACGATCGTTCGAAAGAAAGAAAGCGTATGTACGTAAATCTAGCGGTAAAATCGATGAAAAGAAAAACAAAAAGCGCGGAGTTTAAGTGGCGTGTTGTATGTACGCACGAGCGAGCGTCCGCTTCTCGGAGCAACATGAGTTACATTCACCGCGCGATAAGGTGAAAGTCTAACGTGTGATAAGTGCAACCGGCCACCTGCGGCCACGTTGCTGCTTAATCTAATTATTTAGCCGCGGCAACAAAACGCGGATCGGTACTTGTTGTCGAGAGAGGGCCCCGAGCTTCGAAACGGGATAACTAATGATGCTGGGATTAGCCCCGCCGCGACATAAATAGGGCAGAATAACAATGTATCAAGCCCGAACTTACCTCCGAGTGGATTGAGATTTATGAGATCCGGATGCGATAGGGTTACGCAAGAAATCCTAACTAAAACCGGCTTTTCTCGCACCTATTATACACAGTGTATCGAAAGATAAGGGCAACCCGTAAGATGCGACATCATATGAGGCGCTTGTTATTTTCTCTTTTTTTCAGAATAATTTAAATATTAACACACTTGTATAGCCTATTGGTTATGATTTGATAAAAATATTCTTTGAGGGTGTAGAAAGGAGTCTATATTCTTTATCTCAGTTATTGAAGACGGAAAAGATCTTGCAAAACATGCAGAGAAGTATATGTACTAATAAATTGATAAATATTGCGTCGAAATATTCTCAAGTGGATAAAGACGTTTCAAACAGTTTCAATAACAGAACAGATCGGCAGACGAGCAATGTATTATTATTATAAAAAGTATTTTGTTCATCTCGTCGCTCCTTGACGTTCTAATTCACCCTGTATGTTTCTGCAATATATATAGTATATGGACCATGGAAGTGTTTACATCGCGATTGCCCCAGCTCCGACGCAGCAGAGCCGTGGAAAAAACTTAGATGGGAATATAAGAGGATGGTCCGCTCGGTAGCTCGCGAATGCTCGAAACGAATCGTCATCGCGCGACGTTTTTACGATGCGGAAGAAGATAAAAAAGTCTTGATTCGCACGAGGGAACCGTAAATATATCTTAACGAGGGCACGTAGCATTTAATCATCACGAATACGTATCATCATCAGCGAAGAGAAGATGCACCCGCGTGATGCACCGCACAAACCCTGATCCGATCGACCGAACGATCTCAGACCTTCTGAATAAATTTCAGATAAGATCGGAGAGCTTCCGCCTTAGTTGCTAGATAACGTTCCCATTATCATCTCTCGATCTGTTCCCTTTCGCAGTCGGAAGCGATGTTTCACTCTCGCGTTCAGATTATGCTGGATAATTGGTCGTTTGTATGTGAACTCGCAACAATGGCGCAAAGTCCAGGATCGCGTTTTGTAGTGACGAAATATGTGTGTGCCAGATCCGCGAGGATGACGTTTATTATTTGAAATACATAAGTGCAGAAGAGAATCTCAAACAGACAGCAATCAGTGTTTGCGAATCGCTTTTGTATTATCTGAAGTAATTGCGAAAATAATTTAAAACAAGAAAACTACTTCTCTGTTTACAAGGGTTGAGACACATCGCGATCGTTCGTTTTTGCGCTCTTTTCTATGTTGTGCTTTGAGCGATTAAAAGATTATACGCTATACGTACGTGAGAGATTTCATCGGGAGTTTCGATAGTTTTTATTAACGAGGGAATTGCACGAGAGGATCGAATCGCATAGATCTTTTGCTGATGTTTTACGCATGCACTTGAAGTACTTGAGCTACATGATAAATTGTGCAAGCGAGAAGGCCCATTATTTAAGTATTACGGAGAAATTTAATCTTGCAAAGAGAGATTGAATTCTTCAAGTACAAGATGTAATGCAAAAAAACGTGATATATATATGACAGCAAATTATTTATATTGTACTTGCACTTTTTTTTGATAACTTTTCCTAATCTTTTATTCCTCGATTATAATAAATGTAACTGCGTTTTATTTTATTAATAAATGGAAAAATGAAAAATTTGCATATTCAACAAATTTACATATTTACATATGCATGTTTCTTTTCGGATAAAATTATTTACAACATGAAGAGGCAACTATTCAGGGATTCCAAAATATTTTATTTTGACTGCATATATTGATCTTCTCTTGTCATAAACTTTGAAGTAGCCAAAAATTGATGCCCAACCAACAAAGACAAACAGCTCTGTTTATGTCATTGTATTCGCTGTTCTCTTTTGGTTCCTACTTTATGATAGAAAAAATCGAATTAAAAATAATTTAATTAATTCCACTTAATTGTATACAATTGTATTCTCGTGATAAGTAACTGCATATAATTTTTGTGCTTGTTGTATTTTAATTGTTCTTAATTAATTTACGTGGAAATTAATGAAGGTCTTATCTCATTAGGATGCCAATTTTATCCCGTCGGAGAGTATCTTAAATTTGTAAGAGTACCGGAGAATCTAAAAACAGGAACTGAAATTCTCTCGCTGGAAGTTTATCCGAGAGATCGACTCGCCATTACACCGGTCGACAAGGTACATAACGTAATTCCTTGTTGTGTGTATTAACTTTCCTTTTATACATATGTGTACAAAGCACCGGCGTGAGACGGCAAAATAAAAATTTCACAGGAGGAGGACGCTGGTTTTTTCGCTTACAAGGAAACGAACAAGACGCATGTCTCCCTGATTCTGGCGCAATCACTGGAGGATCTGGTGGACGCGGAATCTCCGAGAAACCTGTTAAAATTTCGAGTTTCCTGCGACTCGGGTACGGGTGACACGTCGGTAAGTTATTGAATTGGAATAGGGAAAAATGCTTTGTAGGTCGTTGACCCCTTTGCGAGCGAATCGAGAATACCGGTTTGAGAGTAGACACTCAAGCGTGATTTAATCGATTTTCCAATTATACCAGTTATTATATAGAATTCGATAGCTCTTTGATCGCCGGTGGATTTTTTTGTCGTTCGTGTAATTTCGAGTTTAATCGGCAATCGGAGTGTTCGACGACCGGTTCGAACCGGTGCGAGAAACGAACGATTTCGCCTGTTTTAAAGCTTTTTCGCGCACGATAACGAGCATTTATGTAATGATTCTCAGGCTTCCCGGCTAAGAGTCATTAGTGCACCGCGTAATATCGCGTTTATATATTTAATAGCCCCTCGATGTGTCGAGCGTTTCTAGAATTTCTCATTTCCGAACGTTTCGGAGGATGTAAATCATGATATTTTCTCTTTCCACGCGCGGTCCACTTTCCCGCTTTTTAATAATTCAACGCCCGACTTGCTCCGAGACATTCGGCGCGATGGGTGTAAAAGTGGCGATCAATAGCGCGTCGCGATCTTTACACCGCGCTATTTACCCGACTAGATTACGATGATTACGACTTTCGCGTGTACTAGATTCGTCGTGCGTCGATCCTTTCTCATTTCCCAAAAGGCACAAGAGTCAAATGTTTTTACGACACGTCGCGTCGTAAAGAATTCCTTCAGACATGATAATTCAGGATTAGAGCAGAGAGATGAATTTAGCGGGTACAACGATCCGTGTATGACTTATGCGTTTGTATGTTTAGGTATCGGCGCATTTATCAGTGACGGTCTACGTGGAGGATATAAACGATCACGCCCCACAATTTGTCGATGCGCCCTATCACGTGTCGGTGGACGAGCTTACGCCAGTCGGTGAGATATTAGTCCCATACACTATCGGTTTTGCTAGCACCTAAATTTCAGCTTAATTAATATCCCATTTGTTTCGTGCGTCAAGTGATGTAATTCATCTTATATGATCGGCGGAAATTAAATACTTGTTCACGATTCATCCTGTGCGCTTGAACGCGTTCGACATTTATTTTTCCGATTGCGATATTTTATTTACGGCGACATCAGACTTTGGAGAATTATTCGAACGCGAGATATAAGGAAATAAAATCTCGTAGGTGTGACGATATTTCGCGGAATTCACGCGCTGGACGGCGACAAGCCGAATACGCCCAACAGCGACGTCTATTATGCCATCGTTAAAGGAAACGAGCAGGGCAAATTTTCCCTCGAATCCGGACACAGAACCGCCCTGATCCTACGCAAGCCGGTCGACTACGATAGTGGAGATCGCGAGTTCAATCTGATTATTACCGCGACCGTGAGTATCCGAAAGCGTGACATTTTCTCTTTCTTTATAGTTTTCTATTCCTTGTTTGAGAAAATTAACAAATAATTATATAATTGTATATTGCATTTTGTATAATACCTTTGATTAATGTGTTTAGCAGAAATTGTATGATAGTAACTCGGTGGTGATAAGTTAAATTAATTTAATTTTATTGCGTCTCGTGATGTTATATGTTTGGAAAAACGCTTTAGGATCGAGGCGTTCCAGCTAAAAGCACAGACAGCACTGTAAAGATAACTGTGCTGGACAACGATGATCTTGATCCAAAGTTTACACAGGACATCTACAAGACGAAGATTCAAGAATTTTATCCTATGCCGGTATGATTATAAAAATTGATATCAATTATGTCTTTAAAGTCGTTGGATTGATCTAATAAAAATACAAATCGAGTTGATCGAGAATTATTTAAATATCGCGACATAATAGAAACATGCGGATAATTGTTACTTAAAGAAAATTAAGTGATGATTTTATTTTATTTTATTTTATCAATTATTTTATTAATTTTAACTTTATTTTATTTGAAATGATAATCAAATAAATTTATTTGAGAAACTCGTCTCTCGCTCTTCTCGTAGGAATATCCAATCTTCAGAGAAATCAACTTTACCAGTCCGATCCACGCGGTTGATCGCGACCGGGACATAAATGTGCCGATGCGATACGATATAATATCCGGGAACGAGAGGAGCTTCTTCCATCTTGATCCGAAGAACGGTTCGCTATTCCTAAAACGCGCGATTGATCTCGACGCCGAGCGGAGCTTGTCGGGCAACACTTTCAATCTTCAGGTTCATGCGTCGCAGGTGGACAACCCGCTGAAGATGACCGTCGCGCGGGTCGAGGTGGAAGTGTTGGATCTGAACGACAACCTGCCACAATTCGAGGTCGATCTCTACAATATCAGCATCGTGGAAAATCTGCCGAACGGCTTCAGCGTTCTGCAGGTGATCGCCCGCGACAAGGATCAGGGAGAAAATGGAAAGTTCGATTATCGATTGGAGGATCTATCAGGCGCCTTCTCGGTGGATCCAGCATCTGGCTGGCTTACAGTCCGGGATCAGACGATCCTGGACCGCGAGAAGCGAAGTCGTCTGAAGATGAAGGTCCACGCCGTGGAGCATCAGCCTAGCGTCGTGACGAGCGAAGCTTCCGGTGGATCCTCCGTGGACGTCGAGGTCACTTTGCTCGATGCCAACGATAACAATCCCATCTTCGTGCCGGGCAATCTTTACGAACTGGTGGCGAGAAGCGACGCGAAGATCGGCACCGTGTTGGGCCAGGTACACGCAATGGATGACGATCTGGGTCCCAATGGATTGGTCCGCTACCGGCTGCAAAAAGCAGGCAACTCCACGTTGCGCAAACCGCCGTTTGCGGTGAATGAAAGCACGGGTCTGATCACGGTGTCGGAGAGTCCGATACTCGAGGGCAGGCACGCGATTTTCGTGGAAGCAGCTGATCAGCCGGCGAACCCCAGCGAAAGAAGATTCTCCTTGGCGGTCGTCACGGTGGACGTTTTTCGAGCAGACGGTAAGAAAGTTATATATAGCTAAAGCAATTCACATTTAATAACGAGAACTTTTATTGGAAGTCAAAAATAAATGTTGTTTCAATAATTTAGGGATATTTTTAATTAATAAATTAATATTCTTTTAGAATTGTAATTTTTCGAAGAATGAAAATAAATGATTACAAGTATCCGACAGAATTTTAAACGGATCCTTGTAAAATCCATTAGATTATTTTATTTTTATCGCGACATCAGGTGACTTGGATTTTAGGTCCAGATTCGTGGGAGCCAGATTTTGTCGGCGCACCTTACGAATTTTGGGTCGGCGCGAATGTGCCTGTAGGCACCAGCGTCGGGCAGATTCGCTTGAATGACGCTGTCAAAACTAACGATCTCATCTATGATCTCCTACATGGTTACGAGGATGGAGGTACGTATAATTATAATTTATACGTGACGACACGATATGTTAATTAATATGTTAATTAACCTCGCGTGTTGCCCGCGGGAATTAAAAGCCACATAGTCGCGCCGCGAATCCTTAACGCGACGGGTCTAATAAACCCGTCGAATAAAAGAGGGACGGGGTGTCCCTAGGTGCGTTCTAATTTTAATATTCGACGGAGGACGGAAACACAAAGGCATTGAAACGCCTATATTATTCATGCAAATACGTAACACATGCCGCATGCATGCGTACCGGATTTCAGTTCCATTTGCTGTGGAGGAGCGCTCGGGCACGATAACTGTCGTGGAGGAGATCGAGCGTTTCGATCGGTCCGCATATGACTTCGAGGCGATCGTCACTGACGAGCGAGAGCTGACGCTGATCACGAACGTCTCCATTCACGTGGTGGATCCGAACGACGACAGGGGAATTTTTACCAAGTAAGTGAAATTCGATTTTGATCACGATTGTCATACAAACCATCTTAAAAAATACTTAATATTAAATGTTAAAATTAATTCAGATTTTTCTCAAATCTATTGGTTTTTGATTTTCTTATAAATTCAACTAAAATTCTAATAAAAATATACAATTAATATAATAGATATAGAACAATTGAATATCAACAATAAAGTTGAATTTCCAAGTATTATTAAAAAAATAATTATTAATATATACAATTGAATAACTTAAAAAATAAATATTAGTACTATGAGAAAAACACTAATCATATTAAAGCAAAACTTATCAAAACACAAAAATAAAATAAATTATATAATTATATTTAAACATATAAAATAATCTTTTATTAAATATTTTTAATAAAAACTAAATAATTTCTCTTTTCTTCGATTGTTGATCGCAATTAAGAGAAGTTTTGTCAATTAATATTCTGGCGATTTCTTACTTCAGTTAATAGAGATCTATATTACTTTGTCATCAGCATGCCTTTGATATATTTCCGACGCGAGATTTGCCAATTGACTTTGCCGGGAAAAATGTCGCGATACAATACTACTGTCGATTCAGAAGTTGACCGTTGATTGCAGAGGAACGACTACTGCTCCTTTGGTCTTCCATGTGATGGAGAACGTTCCCGATGCATTGATCGGCCAAGTGCTTCCGCACAATGGCACAGCATCTGGCACTCAGTTTCTTATCGTTAATCAACAGGACGTGCCGGATGTCGCCATTATGAATGACGGGTCTCTCTATGCTCCTCGAGGCCTAGATCGCGAGACGAGAGAAAATTATAGTGTCACCGTTATCGCCGAAGGTTTGCGCGGTGTAGGTGTGTTTCAGGTAAATTTTCCACGTCTAACATATGTACCTTCGTCTTTGCTATTCGCGTTGGTTTGTCGCTTTGAATGATGGAATAAAAAAATGTTTAGGTGCGAATTGTCGTCGACGACGAGAACGATAACGCGCCGAAATTCACTCTGCCCGCTTACGAAGGTCAGATCATGGAAAATAGTCCCTCGGGAACGGAGATCGTTCTGACAGATCCGATCGTGGCGAGTGATAAAGATGAAGGCAGAAATCGGGAGTTCACGTTTGCTCTACAGGGCGAGGGTAGCGGCCTGTTTAGGATTGATCCAGTAACGGGCAGAATTTTCTTCGTGGGTATTGACAATAGAGTTCTGGATCGCGAAACACGAGCGAATTACGAGCTGCAAGTTATCGCCACTGATAGAGGTAAGTGTATTTGTTTTTTATTTATTTTTCTATTATTTCACATTTTTTAATATCTTTAATATTTTTATTTATTAGACTATCTAACTTTTAAATATCATGACGAGATAAAATAATAATAAATATAAATGAATTTTAAAATATACATAAAATTATAATAATTTAATCTGTTAATAATTAACATAACGCGGATAATTTGTTTGTTTCTAAAATTGTTGTTATAAAAATATTTCTAAAAATTGATTTAGTATGAAACAGTTCGAAAGATGTATTTTAAAATCGAGTTCGGAAACGAGTGTTTCAAAGGCGCTTCTCGTATCATAGGTGGGCTGAAGTCGGAAAGTGCTCTGAAGATAATGGTGCTCGACGCGAACGACAACGCTCCAAAGTTTATACGAATGGTGGTTCTGCCGGATCAGGGTGTGCGCGTATCGCATGATCCGAGTGTACCCGAGACCGGGGATGGGGCAACGTCTCAGCAAGGTAGCGACGGCGGGCGACGTTCGCCGTTGCTGCTGGTACCGGAGAACACGACGATCGGCGTGCCGATAATTCGCTTGCTGGCAGACGACAAGGATGAAGATGCAAACGCGATGATAGCGTACAGTCTGAGCAACGAAACAATCTTGAGCGGAGTGAGGTCGCGTCGTTACGACGCAACCAGTCGTCGTTATTTCCACCTGGATCCGCGTACAGCCGAAATATCTATCGCCCGGAGTTTACCATCCGAGAAGGATATCCGGCTGTTTGTCCTGGCGAGGGACTCGGGCGGTCTTTCGGACAACATTACCGTTCGAATTCACGTGACGGACGTCAACGATCACGCGCCCGTCTTCGATAAATCCTGGTACACCTTCGACCTGGCTGAGGGTACCTACAACAATCGCGCGATCGGCGCGATAAAGGCGTTCGATGCCGATTTTGGCGCAAATGCCGATCTAAGCTACGAGTTGATTACCAGCCACGAGGACTCGAAAAAGATCGGCAACTCGTCGCGTTCGTTTAACGTAGATCCTGCTGAGGGAATAATAAGAGTGAGCGGTACTCTCGATCGCGAGAGAGCCGCGACTCATCGTCTTCTCGTGGTGGCGCGCGATCAAGGTTTGCCGAGCCTGAGCTCGTCCGTGGAGGTAGAGATCAATGTGCTGGATGTGAATGACAACGCGCCCAAGTTCCACGGTTACAACGAGCTAGAGAAAAAGGATGATCGGTTGCCGATTTACCGTGTTTCCGTTCTGGAGAATGTCCCGATCGGCACGCAAGTGGTTAAGGTATACGCAAACGATAGCGATTTTGCCGGGAACGGAAACGGATTGATCCTGTTCGACCTCAGTCATCAGGATCGCACGGAGAAGCAGTACTTTGCGGTGGACAGCAAGGAAGGCGTTATCACGACCATCGCCAAGCTCGATTACGAGACCAAGAAGGATCATCGTTTGATCGTCACGGCGGGCGATCTGGGTTCGCCGATCAGTCTGACCTCCTCGGCCGTGGTTCTCGTCAACGTGCTGAACGTTGACGACGACGAAGAAGCGGACAACGAGGTGCACAAGATGCCAACCTTCCAACATCGTTATTACGAGGTGGAAGTCGACGAAAACGCCTCTGTGCCATTACTGATCGTGCAACTTGATCTGGCCGATAATTATCACGGCGATCATATAAGATACAGCGTTGCGGCTGACGGTTCCGATGGCAGGGATCACTTCTCCGTGGATCCGAAGAACGGTTCTCTCTATCTGATGACGGAGATCGATCGAGAGATCAGAGATCGGTACGAGGCCAAAATCAGAGTCGATCGATTGAAGCTCGGCCGCGGCATGCCGGTGATGATTTACCCGGTCGTCGGCGAGAGACTGAACGGTCTTTCGCCTAACGAGGCTAGAGTGGTCGTCAGGATAAAGGATGTGAACGACAACGCGCCTAGGTTCAAGTCGAGAGACAGGCCTATCCTCGCCGCTGTACCTACTACCGCTCATTACGGTTACGAGGTCGTCAAAGTGGAGGTACGTACATACACACAGAGCTGCGCGACTAAAAGTGAGCTGGTTTTAATCCATTTTGCTTTTTGCGCCATTTCCTCCGCCTTCTTTTTATCTTTTCGTCTCTCTGGAGCGTCTCTCTCGAGCTTTATTTGATTTTCCGAAATAGCTTTTTCACATAGTAAATGCCGTGTCACCTATACGGAACATTCTGTTAATTGCGATGTAATAGAATGCGCGCTAATGGAATGAACGAACGCGTATATTCTGAGAGTGGAGACTTTCCGTACAATTGAAAAATCTCTCGAGCACATGAGATCGGATGTAAAAAAAACTTTGGCGAACTAAAGAAAACCCCGGGTGTCTGAAAAAGAATCGTTCTATATACATCAGCTTTAAAGTGGATAAAGTCGACGAGATTTATTTGGGTGCGCTCTTGGCTGGGATTCGCAGGCCGAGGATCCGGATCTGGGGATAAACGGCGAGATACGCTACCAAATTCTCGGTCGGGAGGACGCTCCGCGCTTCGCCATTGACCCACTCAGCGGTCAAGTGCGATCCGTGGCGAGTTTCAGCCGCGACGCCGGTCGCGTCTTCGGCTTCGACGTCAAGGCCACCGACAGACAGGGCGCCGAGAGCGGGCGCAGCAGCATCGCCAACGTCTTCGTAAGTTTGTCTGTCGTATATATTCCACATTACCCTCTCTTTCTCATCCTTTCTCCGCCCTTTCTCTGTCTCTCACATGCGGTATATCTTAATTACTCCTTGTTAAAGATAGCACTTGGTTTAATTTCCCCACGGGGAAATGGAATGTTTCGAAAGACGGAAACACCCTCCTTCGCTCTCTCTTTCCGCTCACTCGACAGTCTGTTTTGCTATCCAGTATGTGTATCTTGAACCGAATTTGTAGGTGTACGTATTGGACGATCAGAAGCAAATCGTGATGGTTATGGGACGGAAACCTATCGAGATCGAGCCGGAGCTCGGAAATATCACCATGTAAGTGTGTGTGTACTGCTGGAAAAAATATCGCGAATTTACGAACTGTGATCTTTCAGCGCGTTGCAGAATGTCACTGGTTTGGACGTGCGAGTAAGAAAATTGGAGCCCCACATCGAGAAAAATTTGATTGACACTGCCTCGTAAGTGAATCGCAGAGCGATTTTAATAAATGAATGATATCATTTAAATTGATACAATCGCCGATTGAATTTTTCATTTATTTCATTTTCAGCACCGACGTTTATTTGTACGCGATCGATCCGCATCTTAACGTTATGGTAGACATGGATACTTTGCACAGGTAATTAATCGTATTATTATGTTATGTAATATTCAACAAAAATAATTTAAAAATGCTTTATTATGTGTGTTCTAATTTCAAAAACTTGAGAATTTAGAAAAATACTATTTCATGACGGGAAAGTATTATAAATTAAGCTTCCAATTAAGTATTCATTTGTTTATTCAAGTATAAAAATTCTTCAGGTCCTTGAACACTTAAATTTGATGCTAAAACAAAAAAAATGACAATGATATGTCAAAATTAAGAATTTGCTGGATTTTTGCCAAATTGTGAGAATTAAATTATGTAAAAGCTCTCAAGGTTACTGAATACAAATTTGATGTCAAAATTAATTATAATATGATAGATTGATATAGGCCGCGGAAAATATAGATAATTAATTACAATTTTGCCGCGATGTAATAAACCTAACATTTGATTATGAAAATCTTATTAGCTTTAATCTTCACAATAAATTTCTTGTAAGCTGTGAAAGTTTTAACTATATACTTAATTTTGAACGAAGTAAAACTTTGTTAGAGAACATGTGACATACCGTAGCTATAGGATAATAATTTATGTCGAAATAACCACAACTTGACCTTACACTTTTTAAAGCTGTAACATTTTTACGAATCGTAATGTATAGAAATGACAAGGAATTATTCTTCATCTTTACGTTTTTTTTTTAAATAGATCTATTATGCAAGAGATTTCAAATTTTGTTAATTAACTGGTCTCGATTTTGCAAAAAAAGTTTAATTAGATTCTCCTCCAGATTGAGCATTGAAATCGATTCGTATCTCGTAGGTGAAGTTTTATAAGTCATTTACATTTGATACCAAGTTTGTAAAAAGCTCGACTGAATTTTCAGCGTGTTTAATACCAAGAAGGTGGACATAAAACGCGAGTTGAACGAGTATCGCGTGCTGGAGATCGCCGGCAACGCTCCGCGCAGAGGCAGTCAACGTTACTTGCTGTCCACCCTCGAAGTGGGTGTCGTGGTACTCGGCTGCGTCGTCTTCGTGGGCGCCCTCGTGACCGCCCTGTGCGTCACCTGCGTTCGTCGCAACAAACGGTACGCGGAATACGATTTTGCTCGTTCACCATGTCGCCTAACGTCGATGCAACGTATATCTACTCTACCGTACTAACTCCCAGACATGTCAGCTGAAGGACCTTTTACCATCTCTCTATCTCTCTTTCTTCTTTTTCCTCTCACTCACCGAGAAAACGTAGTAATTAACACTGATTAACATATGCGCTCTATCTAAACTAATGATGTCTCGCATGTAAGGATATTTTCGGACAAATAACGGAATGCGAAGGGGAGACTCGAGAATTTGTTTCGATCTTTTATCTTAATTGGTGTTCCGAATGCTGATTTTCCACTCAATTTGCCACAAATTGGGTGCTACTCTGAACTGGGAGTCTCGAACTCCATTCGTTAGTCGCAGACGACGAGACAAGGCCATATTCTCGACGGTCGGCCCGGTCGGATTTGCTCTAACGGATCCTGCTGGGACTCTACAGAAGCCGTCGCTCTTTCCCAGCTTCGTCGACGGTCTCCATTACGACCCCGAGCCCTTTTGCTCCGAGGTACCAAGGCGTCAGAGCATATGCGAACACGGCGGCAGCTGCGTCCGCTTTCACACGTAAGTTTTCATTTGTTGCAAGATTATTAGTGAGTAATTAAGGTGATTCGAATAATTTATACACATGCAGTGTTGATCCATTAGAATTTACAAATTAATTTATCTCTGAAAGTATGGCGAGCAAAAGGAATAATTGATGCTTTTATACAAAGAATAATGAAAAGAATCGATTTATAGTACATTAAAAAAATATATATTCTATTTAAAAAATCTAGTTAACTCTGAAATCTCTGCAACGTTTTTATTTTTAAAACAATCGCACGTGCTGATCTGATGTCCTACTCGAAAGAATTTAATCACCATATGTGCTTCTTTTATGTTTGCCAGAGATACTTTTAGAGATAAATCTATTTATATAGATTATGGATTTTATACATCCCATATGCGATATAATTCATTTATTCATTGATTCACCTTATACGTATATACAGAAGATATCTCTAGATAAGTGCCGTTTGAAATAACTGCTAAACGGTACAATGAGAAAAATGTAACAAGATTTCCTATGTTATTTTTTTATATAGAATAATGGAAGAGATAATAATAAAGAAGCATTGTTTAAATAAAAAGATTCTTCTGGTAATTTGCAATCAAGTACTGATGCATTGAAAGCTGTCATTCTTTGCAATATTTTCATTTAATTAAATTTTCTTTTCAGTATTCAAAATTTTTAAATATTACATTCATTACAAAAATATTAAATATTGTATTTTCAATGAATCCCTGAATTTTTTAAACTCGTACGTTAATCTATCTACAATTTAATGAAGAAAATAATTTTAAAGTTAAAAAGTCCAATACAGAAAACACGCTAAAGTAATTTTCACAACTATGATAAAATATCTCTCATCTTGATAGAGAAAATCATATTTAAATGAATTTTAAAGACGAATAATGTCAGAGAAACAGAGAATTGGAGCGGATCGCGTTGACTCCTTTGCTCCCGAAGGAAAGCTATTATTATAGATTTACTCTATCGGGGAGAATTTCAGAGTATCTTAAAATATATGAGATGCCATCGGGGCTACTTTCAGGATGGGCGGAGGCGGAAAGCACGCGGTGCGTTCGACGGGTACCTTGAAAGGCCTCGAGGCATCCGCGACATCCTTACATTCCAGCGGTCAGGATTCTGGTATCGTGGCGCGCACCTCTTGCCATTGCAGTCACTCGTCCAGTCCTTCCAGCGGCGAGAGCAGCAAGTAAGTAGGGCTTCCAACAAGTTCTCCTCTCTCGACACGGTTTTCAAGAAATTTATGAAAAGCGCAGTATAACGTAATTATTTTCTAAATAATATAATATAAATTAGCAAAAAATTATAACGCTCTTATATATTGAAATAAAATTGTAAAATTAATGTAAGTACAGCCCAACTTAAAAGCATAAATCATTAAGGTGTTAATGAATATTATAAATTTTTATTACTTCCCAATACTTTTTATATGATAAATTGGGAAGTAATAAAAATTTATAATATTTATTAACACCTTAATAATTTATGCTCTTGAGTTGGCCTGTACTTACATTAATTTTACAATTTTATTTCGATATAATATAAACATTCTTTATCTTGCCGTATCTCCACTGTCCGCGCAAATCTTTCTTTCATCTTTTTTTTAGCGGGTACGAGGACTCGCTCAAGTCCCTTCAGCGTCACGAAAGATGCAACGACGTCTCTCGTGGGGGATCCCACGACACGTCGAGCGTGGTCGGGAGACGAGCAAAGCTGGCGGCGAAACGACGACAGCGATTCCACTCCTTCTCGAACGGCGAATCCGTCTATACCCAGGAGATGACGTTGCAACGGGATCAGCACTGTTGCACGGGCACCGGGACTGACAAGAGACGTCACGCGGAACATCGCCGGGTGCATTCCGAGGCGGAGAACAATATCACCGAGACGGTGATACACGAGCATCCCGGAACGGAGATCTCGTTAGCTGGCACCCTATCGAACCCTACGACGACCACCCTTCACGGTAGGTCCGATATCGACGAAAGTAGAAGACGGAGCAGTTGGAACAGATATAATTTTGGTGCAACATAATAATAATAATAAAAAAAAAGGTACGTTCTCAATAGTACACATTTGTCAAAATTGAGCGGATAAAATCGTATTCGCAGGTAGATCCAGAACTAGCCACATGCTCTATTAGCGGCGTCGATTTGTAAAAAACGGAGAGAAAGCATCTCCGAGGAGGAATATATAAACTTGCGGCTGCAAGTTTTTTTTTCGTTTTTATTCGACAATAATTTATTCGTAATAATTTTTCTCGGCAAAAATTTCGGATATAAATGATTTTTATATACGTTGTATATTGCTCTCGTCACAGCGTGTCATCTCGTTGCCAAAGTATTTGCGCGTCGTCGAATCAGAGAATCACTCATTTCTGTAAATACACGACACCGTTTTCAATTTTTCAATTTTTATTCTTTTGATTAATTAATCGAGATTAGATTAGACTATGGCGCGACGATTAGAGATACAACTATATCGATTAAGATTATTTATAGTTCAAGTACGAAACGTGAAATGTGAATGTTTTTATTGTATAATATTAATATATAGCAACACAATTTGTTGTAGATCGTGTACAGATATATTCTTGATTACCTATATGTTATTGATTTATTTAATATATACATATATATATATATAAAATATGTAATTATTACATATTTATATGTAATATATGTGCATTTTGTAAAATGTAATAAAATGTAACATATATAGTGTGATTTATGTCGCAAAGAAGAGAAAAATTTTCTTTTCCATCTTCTCGCTCTTTAACCCGAATAGCGGGTCATTAATTCATTAACGTTCTACTTTAAGAACAAAAATTTTATTATGAACAAAACATTTTACTAATAAATGATCTTTATTCTTGTGTGTTAAATTTCTAGAAATAAACAAAATTAAGTGACCTTTTAGCTTCAAGATTAGTAAAAATGATCTGTTTAATGATTTCAGTAATGTAATGTGAGATTTGTCAAAAATCAAAACTATCGAGGTAATTAATATTCTTGATGTCGTAATTATAAGTTTAAAAGATGGTTGGAATACGGGCGCAATCACGCCACGTCCCGTCTTGTCAAAAGCGACCTTCGGAGATATGTCGATAGCTCGCAATTTCTCTCAAAGTCCTCCGAGGATCCGTGGAATCCCCTTACTTTGATTAAATCAGCGTAGGTGTTTAATTACGATAAATCGAATCGGTACGCGGGAACGCATTGTTAATCCCTCTTTAAAGGTAGAGATAATCGAAGGATGATTTGGATAAATTATTGATAATGCCTATCGGAACGAGAGAAAGAAAGTCGTTTCTGATTGCCTTTTTATTATGATCAGTTGGTGGATGATGAACGATCGTCTCTCCATTCTCGTTTTTAAAACGCGACAAAAACGAACGCTTTTGTGTAGCTTCAACGGCAAGAAGACGAAGAAGCAATATCAGTTGCAGGAAAGACATTCTATTGTAAGGATGGTTTTTTCGAGTGGTCGAAATATCGCGAAATTTAAACGTAATTGCAGCAAGTAAAGTTAAGAAGGTTAATTACTTTCTCGTATAAAGGGATAAATAATCGGAGATATATAATTATTTTATTATATATTGTTGCAGTAATTAATTTATTTATTCGGGTCTTTGTGTGATGTTTGCCGTGTCATAGTATTATTGGAAAACGATGAGATTAGATTCGACTGCGGGTCCAGAGGGAGCACTTGGAGGAGTGCAGCTAATACGTTCGGTAAATAAGTTTCAAGCGCCCGATCGAGCCGAATCGAATTACGTCGTCGATTATAGGATCAGACCGGCTTAAAAGGTCGATTAACACCCTCGACCTCAACCGTGGGATTTCGGGGACGATGTGTCGAGAACACGCCATATCCCCCTATAATCGCGAGATTACGTGGAAAAATGTCGGGAGAAGGATTCCGGGTTTTCTCCGAGCAGACACATATACGCAGGATTAAATTTCTAATATTTCACTCAAGTATTCGAATAACGTTTGCAGGAGCTAGGCGGACTTGATGAGACTCGACGACGGTTTCGCAGTCAGTCAATCGTCGGACAAGGCCGTGGCCTTCGATTTCGCTCCCGCAGCTTCTCATCGTCCGGAATCCTCGACTCTCTTATCTCCGGCCTCTGCTTTTCTTTCATTTAGCCGTGGCTTTAAAAAGAGAGAACCCGCTGTCACTCTTCCCGCCAAGTGTCGATCCGAGAGGATCGAATCGCTCCGTTATAAACTCGAGATCGCGCCGACCGAGACAATGTGTTTTTAACTCGAGAATTTTTGACCAAGATTTCTCGACGAAGAAATCGCAAAAAGGAAAAAAGCCGGGGGATATCCATACAATTTCGTGTCCAGCAATTGTGATCAACTTTATCGCACTCCGTTGCTCCGGGAGAAAAGTCGTTCTCGTACGAGCACGTTCGCGGCATTAGTATTTTTGTCCGCAAAATAGCCTCGTTATATACAGATATATCTCATAAATACTTAGCTGGAAAATGTGTCTCGAGTAGCCGGTGCAACCGCTGGCTCGGGAAACGCAGAATATATGAACTCTCGGAGAGAGGGAGACTCTTTAAGTATCGATCGACGGGAAAATGAACGACTTGTTTCGTGCTTTGGACGCCAAGGCGAGCTAATTCGCATATTCAATCGTATGCATTAGAGCACGGGCGCTATTAGGTGCACGTGGAGACAGGATGGTGCAGCAGCCGCAACTCGAAACTCGATCGCTCGTTACGACGCGGTATCGGTACTCTAATATCGCGAACCAAGAAGGTTACAGGTCGTGTGTCGCGTCCTGGGTCGGCCGACCTTGCCCTTAACCTTAACCCGAACTATACTGGTCATCGATAAAGGAACATGTCGCATTTTCGCGCGAGAGGAACACAATGGGTGCCGATCTTGGGAGAAGGAGACTCTCCTCCGGAAGAGGAATGTCGGTGCGGCGTTTCAAATTAGGCGAGAAATTCTTCGACCGTAGTTTTGCCACGGACGATTAATTCGCGAATTCCCGTAATTTCGGAGTAATTGCGGGAGGCGAAAGGGAAATAGAAAATCGCGAAGACTGCGCAGGGGCAAAAATGCGAAATACTTGGGATGAATGCGACGAAAGAGCGAACGATTCTGAAAGTGCAATTTCTCACTGATGGCCAGGAAAATGCATGCAAACACTGCGTTTCTCGACGAAAAAGGGAAAAAATAAAACTGGCGCGTCTCTCTGTTTGCAAGTCACCTATATGCAGTTTATACTAACGAAGGGAGCGTCCTTGTCTCTCCTTGTCTGTCCTTGTGCCGAGGGATGAGATGGTCGGCGAGATCGCCGGCGCGATCTGAATGTTCTCTTTTAAGATTTTCGTTGGAACAATAGCGAAAGGGGAAGATGAGAGTATACATATTGTAGCGGGAGGAAAGAGAGATATATATATATATATATATTGGAGCGAGACAAATATATATTTCAGTAGTTCTCTTTCTCCTTTTCCGTCTCGCTTTGCAATGCGTCTAAATGGTTAGAAAAATAGCGAAAAATTTCGAGATGTAGTAAGCGAAATGCTTTGTTAATGCGCTTTAATCTAATACAAATAACACCATTTTGAGAAGATCTCTTCGGGTTACTCGAAGATAATTGACAAGATATAATTACAATAATTGCGAATTCGATAATCCGGAATTTAAATTTCCTTCATCATATATTGAGTTTGCTTCTTACAAAGTATACATGGTTTATAATGTTTTTCAATAAGAAATATTTTAAAGAATTTTTATCGTCTCGACATAGATCTCATTACATATCATTATTATATCATGGATTACAAAATTAGACGTTTATTTAAAAAGAACTACAGAAATCTGATGTTCGTGGGTTAGGCTCTTTAACGACTCATTCGAACGATCAGCCGTAATTCAAGCCAACAATTATAATGTGTTACACTGCGTTTTTCATATTATAAGTCTATATATTTTACATGTATGATATAAGTTCGGTCTTTCCAAATTATTTGATTTATGGATATGTTAGCAAAGCAATATTTGTATTGATAAAGACTGTCGTATAGTCGAAACGTTTACTAATTATCATTTATATTATTTTCATGACTTAGAATAAATTGTTAACACCTAATTAATTAGCTCGTCAAGTTGGCCTTTTAATTTATAACTTATTTAAATTTCCTTCTTCTTCTCTCCTTTTCTTTCTCGATATCTCATTGGCGAGACAATTCGACGATAAATTTAAACGACGCAGAAAAAGTATCGTTCTCCGACGAGAAATTGGAGGATTCGCTCGCCCAAGATTCGAAAACGCTTACGAACTCGGATTCCGAACCGAGCCCGCCAACGATGCAGTTTTTCCATTGCGTGGAAATCCTTGTCGTGCAACGTTCGTCGACGAACTCCCCGGATGAGTCTCCCGTTTAACGACGGCAGCCGAAAAAAAATCGATCATCCCGACGCAGAGTTGTATTCGGACTCGGCGACGGACGGCGACGGGATTTATGATTTTGGTCCCGAAATTTTCGTACTTCCGCTCTCGCAATCTTGTACGTACATATACGTACTCGCGGATAAGAGGAGAAGGCAATCTCGCTCGTGCGGAACATGAGAATATAACAGGACGGGATATAAAAGACGGGCTATTTTGACGGGAGTTATACGAAAGCTCGATACGCAGAAGGAGAATGGCAGTCGGCGTATTGTGATTTTAGACATTGGTATTTTTCCCTCCCTCGCACTTCATTCTGGAAGACCATTTTCTTTTATGGTATGGTTGTATTAAGAATGCGATAGGACAAAGTACCAAGTACCTATTCTGCTATAAACTTGATGTCTGAAACGCGAAAGCTGGGAAATTGCGATTTCTTGCAAATCTGTTTTTTTTTTTTTACGATAGACGTGTGATCGACGTGCCTAATTATTATTTATTACAAAATTTATCAAGAGGTCTGCTATCTCTTTATTCTTAAAATTATAAATTCTAAATAAATGGAGCAACTAAATCAAATAATAGATACTGAAACTTATTAATGAAGAATAAAGCGAATAAATGTCCGAAAAATATTACAACAAGACTTGTGTTAGGTTAATAGGTAATTAAAAAAGGGGAAGGAACTGATCGAGATTCTAATTGAGTTGCTGCGATAATTCTGTACAATATTAAAAATACTAGGGTGGTATTTTTTGAGGGATATATATCTGATCGAATTTGGTAGCCACTGGTTGCGTGACAAGAGTAATGGCCGTCTGTGAGATTAGAGAGAAAGAAATTTCGCTGAACGTCCTTGAAAGAAACAATTCAATTAACCATTTAGCTGCCGCTTGGTTTCTAGAAACCGGAAATTTAGGTAATTTGCCGGGGTCATCGCAATCCTACGTAATCAGCGAAAGACGACTATACGTGTACGTGGGCGATGCGCTGCAAAAAACATAAACGGAGACGGCGTGTCGCGGGATGAGACACAAGAGAGAGAGAGAGAGAGAGAGACAAGAAGGGTCGCGATCGAGAGCCTGGAAGAGAGAAAGAGATTAATCGATGCTGTTACACGGCTACATGGCTGTACTTGCGCCGGTTGATCCATCGGGCTGATAGTAGAGCGATATCTACCCTTCCAAAATTTATGCCGCGATTAACATTTAACGGTACGTCTCACGACATCGTTTTCGGTCGCGGATGCCTTCTCTTGCATTAATAAACACTCGGTTATTTTTGATCGGAAAGTGAAACCATGCGGATGAAATACGCGAAAATGATTAAAATACATATATATGATTGAAATATGCGCGTGCACATATTAAAATAAGCAAATGTTTTAAAGAAAGAAGGGAGCATATTTTTTTTACAAATTTTGAACAAATATGTGATACAAAAGTTTGAACTGGAATTGTATTTTCGATCAGGTGTCACAATAGATACGCGCGTTTTTTTTTATAGATTTGTTTAAAATATATGCTCCTGACCATTGGCGAAAAAAGACGCGCTCCTCTGCTATGTCAAAACCATCATGATTTATTGGCCAAAGTGTCAGGTACATTTACTCTCTTGTCGAAATATCTTTTAGTTCTTCTCGGACGAAGTGTTATATTTTAAAATAATAAAAATTAATTAAATTTGTTTATAAATTAATATTTAGAAACAAAGAGCATATAAATGAATAAAACTATCTTCTTTTTCTAATATAAATTGTATATATATATATATATATATATATATATTATATAATAAAATGTAATTTATGTAATAAAGTTAAATTTGGGTCATAAATATTATTATAAAAATATTGAAGATAGAAGTATAATTTGAATAGGGCCGGTTATTTTTATTTATTTTAAAGAGCTTCGTAGAAAATAAAAAAATTTGTTTGTCGATACAGTTTCGTCTAGGAAACGAAAGCGAAACTTTTCGTCGTTCAAAGACAGATATCTAGCATGAGAAATTCAGTCGACGAAATTCTTCGAGATAAGAAACACCTGCTACAGAAATACTTTAGCACCAGCGGAGCAAGCTGCGAGATTCCTTCAAAATTACATAGTTTTGTTATCGCATATCACCTTATCGTCTTTTGAATGTCGCAGAACCGCGATATTTCCCTCTTAATGATTTCACGATTTATGATATATCTGCTTATGAGTAATGCTATGTAGTCTGTAATGCTTTTATTATTGATATTGTATAAAATAAGTAATGACATCAAATTGATTATAACATTTATTCATTCTTTTTCTAATTGTAAGTGTTAGAGCCACAAAAATAAATATTTTTATATTCATCTAATATTTATTATATAAATAAATAAAGTCTATAAAGATAAATTTAAGTGAAATTAATAAATTAGTTAAGTAAATTATCTTAATAAAAATTATTTGTACATTATTTTCTTACGCGTAATATATTTGAAGCAAAGTTAAACAACTGGAGATGTTTTAATTAAAGGCTTGATGTAAGTATTAAAGAATAAATATTACAAGGCAAATATAAGGTCTCTAATTGGAAAAGTATTACGGACGCAGTTTAATGTAAAACATTCCTACACAAATATATTACGAAATGCGTCCCTTTCGAGTTATAGAGTTATTTTTAGTTTTTGGCGCTGACTTCTCGTCAGTACAGTGACACAGGACGCGTTTGTTGACAACGTCAAAATTATATAAATGTAAATGTGTGCCAGTTACAGTTTTAGTTTTGGTTCTGACACGTCACAGGAAATTTTGAGCGAGTTTTCACGAAACATCCGGCTCTCTGCGATACATTGATACCTACAAAAGTCATTTTGCGTGCGCGAATGTCCTCTTATGAAAGATTCACCGTTTCTTTATTGTCTCTGTTTTTTCAAATATATAGTTTGATGCATTGCAACATTTATTGCGACTCTGCACTTTTAACATAGTTTGCATACGCGCAATTTTATTTTCCTCCGTAATTATCGAATATTCTCTCTTGCGTGTAAAAAAAATTAAAATTAAGTCATGAAAATTTAATTCTTAATTTTAATTTTAATATTTATAACTTTTATAAGACTATAAATATTGAAACGTCACTGTTGTATTAAAGTTGATATCAGTTTTGTATGATCGAAAAGCTTTTCTCGATTCTTCATACAATACGTTATCGTGTTCACCGATAGCCGTACAGTTTCAAAGTTCCATAAGCGATGAACGATATGTCACTTGCGGAAGAGAGTCTCGCCGAGGCGAGGCGCCGAGTCGGCGATGCGAACGATACAATGGACCAAGGATGAGAGAAGAGGGGATCATGCAAATTCATACTCGGTTCAATTTTTCCTCCCCTCTATCGCACCTCTTTGAAGGGTGGTTTCGGTCGGACGGACCTTGAACGACTCGTCGCACGGCTAAATTCCGCATGTTTCTTAACTTTTGTGTAAACATCGCGTCGTTACCGTCATTTTATCGGTAATCTGGCCGGAAGTCAAGTATCACCGGACGTCGTCTCCGACAGTAGAGCGGTCGTTTACGAGCTCTCGCGAATTTGGAAGTTAGATTGTCTCGAGACAAGAGGATGAACAAGTCGCTCGAATGCACCATCGCGCTCTCTTCCTCTACATTTCCCGGTTTTGCTCTACTCGATGTATCCTATCTACCTAGCTGTAGCTACGAACAGTGTTTGCTGTTATTTAAATAAAATTATATAGATAATCATCTAGATGAAAAAAAGTGTTATCTTTATTAAATTATCCAGAATAATGTGCAGATAATTTGACTTGGACTCATAGCACATAAAAATACTTGAGTAGTAGAACAAGCTTGCAAGATGAATTCTAGCTAATTTTAAAATCGTCCAAGCACAACCTGCCTACGGAGCGGCGCGAGCGTATCGCATATATAATTTTACCTTTTATCTATAGATATATTGAAAAAATAATTTTCATCTAAGATAAATTGACATATTTTCGCCTCATCTTTCTCTAGCTAATTTTAAAATCGTCCCACTGCTTACGGGTCGAGCGGCGCGAGCGTATCGCATGCGGGTGCATGTGCCGCTTGAACGGCAAACGCTTGCGCAGTAGTCGAGCATCGCACCAGACAGCTCGCCGCGACGGGTGCATCTCGACGCGGCAGTCCGCGGTCGTCTTCTAAGGCGGGCTCGTTTAGACCCGCTCTCAGCATCCACGTCGCGTGGTAAATACATTTCGAGAATACACGTTTCTCATTCAAATCGTCCACTCGCGTCGATCAGCTTTTCCTCCCTCTGGTTTCCTTCTACGCCTATTCATCCCTCTCTTCCTACATACCCATGCAATTTGCAATTTTCTCGATCTATACAGTCGCCTCGATCCATTTTCCTTCGATCGACCCTCTTCGATCCGGAGGATAGTCTCGGTGCGTTTCCTCATTATTATTTCTCCAGAAGCTCTCTCGAAAGCTCTTATTGGTAATCTGGTCGTAACCGGAAGTCGACGATAGATTGGTAATTTCCGAGATCGTTCGAGGGCACCTTCGAGTGCTCCGGAGGAAAGCCTAGGGAAACCAATCGACGTTCGCCGCCTCGCGACCCGGGAAGGTCGCGTAGGCATCGTGGTTGGGCGTCGGGGTCGTCGACACGACGGCGAGCGCGCCGAGAAGGAGGAAGAGGAGAAGGAGGTGGACGGCACGTCGCGTTAACGTTTCGGCTAATGGTCGAAACGTCGATCCGTCACTTCACACTCAAGTTCCCGATGCTGCAGCCACCGTCTCCTCTCCTGGAGATGGCGTCTCTACGTTTACCGGACTCGGACGAGTTCGACGTTGACACGCGACGCAGGAGCAACAACGTGCCGGTCACGACAGCGGTCGCGTCGCCGGCCACCGGGACCCTGTACATGCGGAACGATCTCGGCGGTTACCTCAACGACCTGATCACGGAGGCGATCGCGACGACGAGTCCGCGCGCGACCATGGACGATCACCATCCCGATCTGTTCAACGCCAGCGGGATCGCGAATCTGTCGGCGATCGGCGAGCACACGCCCGATCGGCTTTACAGACACAGCATGGCCATGTCGGCGGTTTACTGCGTGGCCTACGTGGTCGTCTTCGTGGTCGGGCTGATCGGCAACAGTTTCGTCATCGCCGTCGTGTACCGATCGCCCCGCATGCGGACCGTCACCAATTTCTTCATCGTCAATCTCGCGGTGGCCGATGTGCTCGTGATCGTTTTCTGCCTGCCGGCCACCCTGATGAGCAACATCTTCGTCCGTGAGTACCGATCGTCTTTTTTTCTCCCTTGCTAATTTATTGATTTATTTATATAGAGATTCTTGGATATCACTGCGATCGCATTTTTGTGTCAATGTGTTTACCGATATTTTATTTACAACGTTTGTCAATGGACGTAATCGTGGCGGATCTCCTCATAACTTATGAATCATTCTGTATCCTTGCGCGAGGAATGCTTCTTCGAGCATAACGAAAATATTTATGAGCCACCCTCCGATAACCGAGTGCACTCCGCTTGGAGAAGGGTGAAGTCTCAAGGGCAATTAAGCTGTCATCACGATGCGTATAATCCGTACGCTCTGTTTCAATGTTGCAGCCTCCCTTTCGGAAAAGTGGTGCTGCATTCCTTTCGTATTGTCGAATCGATCTCTTTGCGTCTTCCTCTGTTCTCTTATTCTTTTTCTCGACTTTTATTTGCACTCCAATTCTCGGATCGTTTTTGGATTAGAGAGAGAGAGAGAGAGAGAGAGAGAGAGAGAGAGAGAGAGAGAAAGAGCGTTATATATAAGATGGGGCGTAGAAAATCGGGCGAATGACGTGCAAATTTAGACATTAAATTCGCGGATGGTATTGACGATACATACCGAAAATAAAGTATGCGGCCAAGTTACGAGGTAGAGCGCAAACAGAGCGGCAGACTTACGGCACCGATCGCAATTTGAGCAAACAAACGGGGCGTACTTATTTGCATTTCCATGAACAGAATCACGCGGTTGCTACGAGAGAGGAAAAACAGGCGCCTCATCGTGCCGTTCTTTAGAAAATCAGCGAATCGTAACCGGCGTAACTTATTCGCCTGCGGTGCAAATCGTGTAGCCGACTCGCTATTACGAGTCCGCGATTACGAGGGTTTTAAATTAATTCGCATTGTAATCACGCTGTAAGCACTATAACAATTTACTTTTTTTCATGCACTTTGGTCGGGTGGTGCGAACTAGACTGTGAAAAATTAATTGCATTAATATATTTCGCGTATACAAAAATAATATTCACACAATTAGATTTTAACTTTGAATAGTAGCATACTGTTAAATTTTTAGCGATCATTTTACACGAGATACCTAAATCTTTTTTAATTAAACAAAAATTACAGTTTCGACAAAATGTAGCTGATAAATTATTGACCATAAACTTTTCAGAGTTCATAATTGTTGCCCTATCAATTATATACATGAGATATTATCTCTTGTAAAATTCCTCCTTTATCTTCCAGCTTGTACACATATAAGTGTGTAGTATTTGAAAGAGTGAATACATTTGCAACTTTAATGCATACCATACATGCCAATGTCGCGTAAGATAAATGCGCTATACGTGCGACCAATCATGTGGAGAACATCTTGCGCCTTTGCCAGAGTTAGCCATCATATTTGCCAGCGAAAAAAAAAAAGATAAAATTGTATATATAAAATAAATATAGGTATAATATTTAAACATTATATAATAAATATAAATATTAAATATCACAACCGCATGCATATATATATTTATTTAATTGTGCGCGTTTATATCCGCGTTAGAAAATTGTAAAGCTGGCGGTGCAGTCCTGATGTAACCCATTTCTCGTTACATTTCGCGAGTTAAACGTACAGTACGAATATACGCGCGGCCACGCGCAGTACGCCACATTTCCATAATTACGGTAGCGAGTCACACGATTCTGAGACGGGCGATCGTAACCCTGGATGTCGTAAAAGGCGCGTGTTTATGGTCGCATTTCGTTCCGCTTCCTGTCGCCGACTGCGTTTTATCGGCAGTTATCAACAATGCGTTATTAGGCCCAAGCCAGCGAGCTATAGGAACGTCCGCTCGATTAATCCGTGATCGGAGGGTCGTCTTGACTTTTATCGAGGATCGATTTCATCACTGTTATCGCACTCGATGTTGCGTTCGACCTTGAGACGCACATCAGAAATTTCGATTCGCTTCGGTTGTCTTCAACAGAGAAGACGATCGTTCATTTTTCTTCAACTTTTTAACCATCTCCTGACAATTTAACGTATCGATCAAGCATCTTTATATCTCTATTTATTGTCAGATAAACTGGTGCGCGAAGAAAACTTGATCTCTCAAAGATCTGATAAATATGTATAAGGAATACCATATTGCTGCGTTCTTTATATTAAATTAAATTAGAAGCAAATTCTAACGGAAGAGAAGAGAGAGGAATTTTTTCAACGCGCCGAGCTTTAACGCAGTGCTGTTTGCTCGCTTTGTCTGACAATCTTTAGTCACGTGGCTCAAAAGACGCACCAAGAGCGCATATGTTTCTGAAAAATTCGAACAACGTTCGTTGTGACGAGGATTCGTTATGTGGTATTACATATGCATATGCGTTCAATGTGCATCTGTGCACCAGTCGGGAATGACGATCGTTTCGTTTTCGTTCGCAGAATTCTCAAGGAATTTCGTTCTATTGATTCTGGTACAGTCTATTACTGCTGATCCTGCTGTTGCTGCTGCTGCTGCTGCTCATCAAGTATTTACGAGACGAAAAATAGAATATAACTCGCGCTCGTCGAGGTGTAGGTGACCGTGTTAATAGGTCGTTATCGATAAAGCCGACGCGAGGTGCGAGTTAAAATCCGAGCTAAAAGTCGTTGCTTTCTTCCGGACGACTCTCTCTCTTTCGAGGAGCAATTTCATAGAAATGAGTACCGCGTTTAATTTATGCTCTCTTACGGAAGAGAAGGAGGAAACGATTTACGGACGCGTTAGAGATGTACGTGTGTGCTTAAAAAATATCTTAGGGAAAATTATCACGCTTTTTATACGAGTAGATACTTGAAATAACGACAGGATTGCATTGTGGGGCATTTTCACCCCGAGAGTGTGCACCGGACGTTTCTAAAGGTCTTATTAATAAACGGGTCTAATTTTTCAGCGCTAATATACAGGGTGATTTATAAACGTACGGCAATATTGTATTTTTTCTGAATATTTTTAAATTTCTTCTTTAATCAACGGATAGGGTGAGGAGGATTTGTAATATGGCTACCCTAATCTTAAATTAAAAATTGGACTTTTAATTTTGTGATCATTCGAAATCTACCGTATGTGTTTTACACAAATCAATAATGTTTACGACTCGCACGAAATGAATTCGAAACAATTCAAACGACGCCTGGTATTTTCCTACAAACGTAGAACTCAATATTAAGGCGTGCCGTAACGTATGTTAAAACACAAGGCGGACGCTTCGAGAGCACATTTCAAGCTCCTTTAATCTTCCATAACTCAGAAACTATGGTATGTACGATCCATGTTCAAATAACATTATTTTACATTGTTTTATTTTTTGTGTACATTCACTTCTTGAAATAGCGTCGCGCATTTGTGAATTACTCTATGTACAGAGAGGAAATAAGTAACGATGTGACATCGGTAACTCCGACTATTTATTTTGCGTGACAAAAATAAAAGTCACAGCTATTTCGAATATTTTAAACGCCAACTGTGAATTACATTTCACGCTCGTCTCGATTATGCGAATATTTAAATACGACGTATTCTCACTTAAAAACATCTTTAAGATGTACGTCTGAGTGTTTATGACATACATAAATATATAATGATGTACACATAAAGTATTTATGGTCGATATTTGCATACGTGCGTTCTCATTCGTTTTGACATGGAAAGCGACAGCGATCTCGCGATTCTGGATTAAACGACACGATAAATCGAATTACTCGCATTCGGAGAAAGCATCTACGTGACACGTAAATAAAATTGTACACACTGACGGAATTTTGCAGATTGGTGGAAAGTGAATAGAGTTTGCTCGATCGAAAAAAATTGTAACATTTTTCTTCTCTTTTTCCATGTATTTAGCTTGGCTTTATTATAGTGCTCATTTATTCTTTTGTAATATTGTAAGTTATATTTAATATAAATCACATTTTCAGATAGAACATTTTGTGGAAAAAAAATAGTGAAGAAATTGTATTTTCTCATCTAAAATTTCCTAATATAATATGACTTTGACTAATATTTCGCCTCTAAGAAACTTGAGAGATCATCTCGTATTTTCATAAATATGATGAGAACTCTCCCTCTTGCTGGTTGATCATTACGAGGGAGACCTTGTTCTCGCAAATCGCTTTCGTTCTTGGGCAAGGCTCTCGACATAAGTAAATCGGTTGCCACAACGTTAATTCTGTAATGGAAGTGTCATTAATTATGCTTTGGGTCACGGTAAAGAGAAACAGAGAGCAAGAGGGAGAGACCCGCGATTGTTGAAATGGGGTGCTCGAAGCGGGCCTGTTTTTCCGAGGTGGTTGCAAAGTGACGAGTGTTCTCCTCGACAAATTGTTCTAATAAAGTGACGATACAAAACTGCACTGTCGTTAATCAAGGCCCGCCCTCTCCTTCAATATTGCCATCGGCGAAACGTTCTTTGGTGGTGAACGGCCGCGACTAGATTTAAGCTTCTTCGTCGACGAGCCGGTAAATCACGGTCCACTGGAAATCCACTCGGCATCAATTTCGTCGGTTTTGCACGGAGCGATACAATGTAGCGAAGATCAATTATCGTCTTTTTGCATTTTCCTTCTCCTCAATCTATCGCTTTTAATCACTTAGTCGTGTTGATTAATCAAGTATTGGCGCGAGGAATATATAAGGAATATATACCATTAGTTTTCGTGACATTTTTGTAATATCTGAGTGAGAAAAAAGTCCATATTTAATCGAATGTATAATTATATTAAAAAATAGGTCCATATATGTTTTCTGCGATTGCATATTTTTTCCCTGTTTATATATACAGGAAAAATATAATAAGAAGAATAACTGAAAGATAATTAAAAAAAAAATAATTTTTGCATTATTTTTATATATATAATACATATAATTATATATAAATGTACAAAATTATATATATATATAATATAAAAATGATTTCTCCCTTTTATTCTTTTCTTTGCATAAACAAACAGCGAGTATATAAAAGAAGAGAAAACATAGGTAAACATATT